GCGCGCGGGGAGCCGGGCGGGGGGCACCTCCCGGGAACGGCCCCCGCGCTGAGCTGGGGTCTCACGGACCACGTCCCCGCCCCCTCGTCCTCCCCGCTCCGGTCCTGGGCTGCCGTGCCTGGCGCGCTCCTGAGTGGGCGGCCCGGAGTTTCGTCCTGAACCCCCTCCAGGCCGAGCCGGGGATCTGGGGGATGGGGCGTGCTGGGGCCAGAGTTTGGAGTCCAGGTCAGCGAGACGTGGGGGGATGCTACCCTCCAGGCCGCGTGTCTGCTTTGTTCGCCCCAGACTCCCTGGGGGTAGGGCGGGGAGGCCGCAGCCAGGATCCTGCTGGGCACGGGTCTGAGATAGGGTCTCGTTGTGGGGACCGCACCGGGCACGGCCTGCGGGGGGTCCCACGCCTGCAGGGATTGCTGGCCGCGGCCCGGCCCAGGAGCGTACACATCAGGGAGGTCAGATGTGTACGGAGTGACCCCTCCTCACAGCCCCTGTCAGCCATCGGGAACTCTGACGGTTAAGAACCTAACTCTCCCCTTGAAGTATGGCCCTAGGCAGGGTGATGGCTAGTGGTGGGAGGGAAAGTCTAGCAGCCTCCCCTTTCAGAAAGGGTTTCCCTGTGCTTTGGGCCTAGGAACTTGGATGCAAACTGCCGGGCTCCTCTACCCGCCTGGCCAGGCCAGGCCCCAGATGCACCCGAGGTTTCCTGGAGGTCTCATCCCAAGGAACCACTCTCAGACCACATATGGACCCACTGGGGGTCCCCCAGCCACATCAGGGGCCTCCTCTGGAGACCAAAGGGCTGGCCTTGGAGGTATTCTGAAGACATGGGTCCACCACTGCTGTGTTGGGCAGGTGCCTTCCAGACTTGTCACTCTCCCTCTAGGGTGGTGGGAGTGGGTTTTCTTTGTTTTCTCACTTGTGGAACGGGTCCAGCTTTCTCTTCCCATTGGCAGTACCAGGACCCCAGGGCATCCCAGTGGCAGCTTCGTGAGGATTTGAAGGGGAAGATTTGGAAAGCAAGGCCTGGGGCTGTGGGCCAAGCAGCCAGGCCCCTCTGAGCTCTCTGTCCTCTTCTCTCCATGGAGACAGACCCTTCCCCTGCAGGGCTGTGGGAGCCCAGAGTGAGACAACAGAGGGAAGACATCAGGGAGAGGAGCTTAACCACCCTTCAGTTCCTGCATCTCGTTACTGGAGCCTGAGACCTAATTCGGTGCACACATGTATTCACCAGGCACCTACTCTGTGCAGGCACTGTGGTGGGGCTAGAGATACAGCAGGGGCAGACAGGCCTCACAGTCTTCTAACCCCATAGCCACATCCCACCCTCACGTGGGGTCAAGTCTGGGTAGCTGTGACCAACTGTCATTCTGGGAGTTCACCAACTTTGGAAACTTAGTCTGGAGCATGGAACACACACAAGAGCGGAGGGAGCCCCACGTGTACCCCCGCTGCCCAGCCAGACCACACCAACCTTCCTTAAGTAGTCATTTGTAGCAAATCTAGACATCTTATTTCATCCTTAAGTATTTCTGAAATTATCTGTAAAAGATAATGTTTTTATAGAGTATAATTAAAATACCATTTCTGCACCTAAATGAATTAATAATTTCTTAATATCAAAGTGCACAGACATGGAGGTGAGAGGTGGGCGGTGCAATTCTTGAAAGTCCCCAACCAGTGCCTATGGGAAGCCAGGTTTCTAGCCCACCCACCTCCAAGTCTGTCCAGCTGGGAGAGAGGCCGGTGCCCTGCCCTCAGAGGCTGAGCCCTGACAGGGCCCACCCAGCATCCCCAACATGCTCAGACGAGCCCTGACTCCAAGGACAAGGGGCTGAGAAAGTGGGGTACGGATACCGAGTCTCTGTGACCGTCCTCCCTCCCTGCAGCCATTTTGTTTCTTATGCCATTCACTCATTCACTTCATTAATTTGTTGGCTGGCAGTGGGTTTGTGCAGAGTACCTCCATGCTTGGGGCAAAGCCCTCGGCACACAGCAGGGAACTTGAGATTTGGGCCATATCTCTGCTCGAATGTGCTGGAAAATAGGTCACCAGTGTAGCACAGGGTAACCCTATCATCTCCGTGTGTACCAGGCCCTGTGCAGGGCAGGACTTGGTCCCCCAGCTCGAGTCTCCCCTTGGGGTGCTGCTTCCGTGTGGGGAGGCCTTGATGGGGGGCTATGCCGGGGTGAGAACAAGGGGGTCACTAGTTGACTAATGACTCTTTTGGGGCGTCGAAAACACCGCTCACCTTTGCCCTGGGCTGGGCAGCTCTGGGGTCTGCTGAGCCCGCCCAGCCTGCAGCCCAGCCAGGCTGCCAAGCACCCCAGCCCCGATGCCCGCCTGTGTGATCACTCCTCTGCTTCATACCCTAGGACGAGCAGTGGGTCTCACAAGTGGGGAGTTTGTCCTTTCTTCCCATAAGGGCTTATTGAGAAGGTACCAGACACACCTAGGTGATTCCTAGCACAGGGGCTCATTAACTCTTAGGTGGGGTCCTGGGCTCATTCAACGAGCATTTAAGGTACACCTACCGTGCATGAGGACCACGCCCAAGTCCTGTTTCCTTCATGTCCTTCCAGCCAAAAGATCAGTGTCCTTGATGGCAAAAGCTGCATCTTCTGCACCCCGACCCCACAGCTTTGACACAGGCCAGGACACCAGGATTTACAGAATAAAGACGAGACCACTGCCAAAGAGAGACAAAACGAATAAAACAAATAGACATACAGAGTTTAAAAGTTCACGGCTTCTGCATTCCCCTGGCTCTGCAACACCATCAGCTGTAGCTGGTTTGCTGTTTCACAGATGCTGACATTTGATAAAATGTGCTCCTTAACTAAAGTCAGTGCAACAGGCCACTGTGCCTGTGGGGGACGGAGGTCTGTCCCAGGGGCTGTCTGGGGGCCCAGGATCTACAGTGAGGCATCTCTGCCCAGCTCCGGACCCCAAGGCAGGATGGGGGAGGAGCGTGCCGAAGTCCTGCCTTCTTCCCTTACCTCAGCACCCACGGACTTCATCCTTCCCACCTGGACCACGTCCTGTAAAGAGGCAGGTGGATGCTGTCCCACTCAGCTCATAACCCCTCAGAAGCTTCTCTCAGCTCACTGAGAAGCAGCCAGAGTTGTCTCCGTGATACGCTTGCCCCCCAACTGGTGTCCCCTGCCCTCACCGCCCCCAGCCATTCCTCAGATACAGCCATGCTGCTCCCCTCAGAGCCTTTCGGGGTGCTGTCTCCCCCAGATATTGCATGGCTCTCACCCACCTTCAGACCCATCCCCCAGATGGGGGAATAGCCCCCCCATGCTCCCCAGCACTGCCCACCCTCAAGAGGACAGGAATCACCTACTTTGTTCTAGCCAGAGTGGGCTCAGGACTCCACTGGATCAAAGAATGAACAGCATGTGCTTTCTCTTCTAGATGAGGGCCCCACCCAGTGAGAGAGAGCAGTTGTGAGCAGAGACTCCACCTCTGTGCCACCTTTTACCCCTAAGTCCACTTCCCCCTGGTCCCTGGTCGGGGCCCAGAGAACACACACCAGCTTCCCTGTGGGCACAAGGTCTGGGGTCTCTCCCTTTATGGGCTATGTTCCCAGCCCTAAGCCATGACCTGGGAGCAGAGGCCAGCTGGTGGGGCTCAGAGCTCAAGCCCCAAGGACCCCGTGCTATGTGCCTGGGACAGGCTGAGCCCCTCGGGGTTAAAGTACAAAACTTAGCATCCTCCCTGACAGCTGCTTGTGGCATTAGTCGGAAAATTCACTGCTGGGACTCTGCTCACACAGAAACCGTGAGCCACTGTCATTGTTCCTGTTCTTAACCAAGAGCCACTTACCCTGTCTGGAGGCTCCAGACAGATGGCAGCGCCTCCCCTACCAGGCAGGGTCACCCACCACCCCAGGCCACACATGCCTCTCTGTGAGGGGGACCGGGTTGCTGTGCCTCCCCTTTGAGGAAACAGAACAGCGTCCTGCAGAGCAAAGGCCCTCAAGAGGTTTCTTAGCCCTTGTCCCTCAGCAAGGATTCAATCTGGTCTGAGGCTCAGGAGATTTCCCGTTCCCCCAGCTCTCCTGTCCTCTGGTTAGGAAGGTGCCCTTGCCCATCGCGGGCTGGGTAGGCCCTGACACTGGTGGGTGTAACTCTACCCTTTGAAGATGCTCAGAAGCCAAGTTCCGAATGCAGCAGCAAGGTGGAAACCAGACCCCGAGCCCCGTCCGGCCTCAGGCCCTGTGTGATGACACAGCACCAGGCAGAGCTGGGAAGCCCCGCCCACAGTCCCGCTTCCCAGGGCAGACGCCCACCTCAAGGGCAGCTCTGCACCTGAGAATCCACGTCACTGTCTTTCCACTCAGCTGGGGACCCTCCAGACGCACATCCCGGCAGGCGAGTCCAGCCCACTGACCACACAGGCCCACTCTTCACAGGCAGCTGTTGGCATTGGGCGCCCCAGCCAGGACCCCTGGCAGCTGCTCTTGTGGCTGGTCCACACCCAGCCCTCAGTCTCACCCCTGGGGTGGCTCAGCCCACCACACTGCTACAGGGGCCAGGAGGGCACTCCTCACTCTTGACTGAGCACCTGTTCATCGAGGGGTCCCTCGCTGAGGGAAGGTGGGATATCTGTGTGGAGGGGTCTCAGGAGAGGGCAGCAACAGTGGGGACACAGGGGAGCCAAGGGGTCCAGCTGCCCCAGGGCACATGCCTGACAGGTGATTGGGACCCCCCGCTGTGTGGAGACGGGGGAGGGTGGTGCCTCCATGGGGTAGGGGCCCCATCTATGAGTGGCACCGTCCTCACCAAGCAGATCCCTGAAGAGCCTGCAGCTCTCACCCGACGAAAAGTACAAGAAACGAGCAATCACATGAAAACAAACACAAAAATATGAGCAATTACAGGGGAATACCGCGTGTAAAACCCTGGACGAGCATCCCGTCATGAGGGGGGCTGGTGGGGAGAGGCTGCTACCTACCCATCCAGTAACTCTTTTGCTACAAGAATGTGTTCTTTTGAATTCAAACACAACATAGGACACACAGGTGAGCAGGCGCCATTGTGGATTAAAGGGAACCAAAGGCCAAGGACACACATGACCAACCACCGGACCCTAGTTTGGACCAAAGTCGAGACAGGTGACAGTATTGGGATACTAGGGGCTCTGACAGGACCAGCAAGTGTCCCCATGAGACCTACATGGTCTGCCTTCATTCCTGCTCAGGTGCTCAGGGCAGAGGGTCTGGAAGTCAGCCTTTTCCTCACCCAGAGTAACGGAGAAGGGCAGCCTCCTCAGAGAAGCCCCTACCCCTTGCCTGGCTTTCTGGCCCAAGGCCACCCCTGGTCACTGCCCGGGGCCTCAGAGGAGGTTCTCAAGTCCTCCCACCTGTGTCCTGGGTGGGGGTCAGGGTCAGGTGGAATCCCATGTCTCCTCCTGGGGGTGGAGGTGGGAGACCCCAGCGCCCTTGGGGTAACCAACACCTTCTTTGTTGCAGAAATAGTTAAGGAGATTGCGGTGCCACAGGCTGCCCTGGGTACCCCAGTCCCTGGGACAGGGAACAGCCTCCACTCGCCTGTGGCTGAGGAGGTGGGCGTCCCAGCACCTGCTCCAGGGCTCCTGCAGGTCACAGAGAGACGACGTACGTACAGGCTGGGGGACAGGGCGGGGTCCACATCCTGTCCAAACACTCCTCCGCTCTCAGGGGCTCCGCTGGGCCTCAAAGAACAGAGCTGGGCCATGTCTGCGGCCCCCCACCCCGCCACTGGCCCACACTGGGCTTCACCTGGGCCTCATGGGGCAGCCTTGGTGGAGAACACCCTGCTGACAAGCTCCTTTGTCCCCAGAGCCTCTGAGCAGCGTCTCCTCCCTGGAGGTGCACTTTGACCTCCTGGACCTCACCGAGCTGACCGACATGTCCGACCAGGAGCTGGCTGAGGTCTTCGCCGACTCAGATGACGAGAACCTGACCAGCGACTCGCCTGCAGGTGGGGCTGGTGCTGGGCCTAGAGGGCACTGTGGGAGGTCCTGGGGCCCAAGACCACCAAGCATCGCTCCCTGGAGACCCTCATTTTGGAAAACAATTTTCTTTATTTCTCATGTGTGTTTAAGTATTTGTCAACAAAGTGCCACTTCATGCACCGTTTCTGCATTTTACACACCTGTATGCCAACTTTAAGGAACTTTCGACTCCTCCTCACTTTCATTCTTGAAACGCCAACAAAAGGCCACAGCCACTGTCCCACTGAAGGTAGAATTCACTACATGGATTTAATCACAAGTAGGCTGAGTACAAAGTGGGTGGCCGCTCCTCATCTCAGTTCCAGGAAGCGCTGCCCTTGGCCCAGAACTCACGGGCCTCAGAAATGGCAAAGGAGCCACTGGGGCTGTGGGGGGCCCAGAGCCTTCCTCCCTCCCTGCTCACAACCCATGCAGGCTGGAGAGCTGGGCCTCGGCTGCACCAGGACCCTCCTGAGGGCATCAGGTAATCCCCAGCCCACGCTGCACCCAGACCCAGAAGTACGCATTGCTGGTGCCCAGAGGACCCCAACATGTGGCCAGACCCCATGTTGGAGGCACACACATGCCCAACCCAGTAGCTGCAGGAGTGACCTGAGACTCCAAGCCACACTGACCCCACCCCGTGTTCCCACCAGGCCTACACCCACTGCCTCGGGCCGGCTGTCTGCGCTCCCCATCCTGGACCCGCAGCAGGGCTGAGAAGAACCGTGAGAAACAGCCCTTTGGCGACCCTGAGCGGCAACCCACCATCGTGGACACACTTCTCACCGTGGAGAGGCCCAAGGAGGACTAGGCCGGCTGGCCCCAGGGCCGAGACAGGGCAAGCCGGGACAACTGTGCCCGTGGACACTGCCCGCCCACATGGCTCTGGGATGGGGTCTCAGGGTGCCTCAGCATAAGCACAGCCCAGTGGCCTTATGTCCAGCTCATTCCTGGTCCCTGGATCAGGGACAACGCCTGGAGATGAGAAAGGAGTGGCCTGAGCCTTCTAGAAACTTCCGTCTGCAGGACTGGTGTTCTGATCTGTCATCCACCTCCAGAGTGGGTGCAGGGTGAGCGGGGACCTGCCTGTGAGAGGCACTCTGCAGACCCCTCGGGGGTCTCAAGTTCCACTCCATGAACAGCTAAGCCAAGCTCCAGCCCATGGGACACTGCTGTTCAGCCAAGTACATGGGTGGGAGAGTCAGCCCTGAAAACTACCACCTTGACTTCAGCTGTCTGCTTCCTGCCGCCAAGGGAGCACTGTCAGCACCAGACACCCAGGCCCTAAGACCCAAGACCCTGCTAGTCCTGGTCCCTGCGTGACAGCCAGGCCCACCTTCCTTAGCTTGGACCCCAAATATGACATGACTGCCTCAGGCTGCAAGGCAGATGGGGCTCGCCCTCTCCCATCCCAGGCCCATCCCAGTCCCCCCAGCCCATCATGCAAATGCACACGCAGGCACACGCATGGGTCTGTGTCCCTGGCTGGCATCCCCACCTGGGGTGAGGCAGCCTGAACGAGGTGGGGACGTGAGGGGGAACTGGGCATAGCCCCTGGCCCCCAGTTCTGAGGCACCAGGCTCAGCTGCTCCCAGTGCCACTCACGTGCGACTGGACAGAGCAGGCTTCTGGTCTGACAGTGAGTCCAAGAACAGTTCTAAAATAAATGTGTAAGCTTGCTTTTTGTCCCCTAGGCCACCTGCCCTGATCCTTCCCCACTGAAACACGTCTGGGGAAGGAAAACAGGCTCCTCTGTACAAGCCCTGGGCATGTGCTGGGCCCACTGGGTGAAGCTATACCAAGTTCCCACCAGGAAAAGGAGCCCAGAAACGCAGGCTGCCTCTGCAGCAGGACCCACCCCCACTGAGGGGCAGCAACACGACCGATGTCTTCCAGGCACAATCGAGAATTTCACTGAAAACTGATTCCGTGAGGGCAACCGCATGCCCCCCGCCCAGGGTCTTCCTCCCCAGCTTCCATCCTTCTTGCTGCCGCTTCCACAGAACTCATTTCCAAAAAGCAGGATTAAAACGCCACCTGTTCAGTCTTGCCTGACCTCTTCCTCTCTGACAGCAGAGCGCAGGGGTGCGGCAGGGGTGGGGGTGGCTGCTCTAGGGGCCTCTCAGGACTCTGTGTTCGGGTCCTCCTCCAGCTGAAGCCATCGAGGGCTCCACCGCAACACACTCTGGGCTCATTTGAGTCTCGTTTCAGGGACAGGTGCCCTGGCTCTCAAGGCAGTAAGGAAGACCCTGCCCCACAAGCCCAGGCTGGAAGAGGCAGAGATGCTCCCTGGAGATCCTATTCCCAGCCCAGGGCAGGTCCCCAGGGAGCTCCAGGTCCAGAGCAGCCGGCTGGTCCAAGCAGGTGGGGCCAGTCCATGAGCCCAAACCCCAAACACTTCAATCACCCGTGAGACGAGGGCCCAGAGAACCGGCCCTGGGCCCCATGCCAGGGGTTCCTCTGCTGGGCTGAGCCTCCCTAACCCAAGATTCTTGGCCAGATCTCGACTGCAGGCCAAGGAGCCCCAGGTGGTGTGATGGCCCAGATGGGGTGGGGTAAAGGGGAGCTGAGGAGACTGGAAGGGGTGCAGAATGAGGGCACCACAGGCCAGGGGGTGCTATCGCCAAGGGGGTGCCCTGGACCCTGGGGAAGGGCTGAGCTTTAGGGCCTCCCTGGGTTCAAAGGGAGCATCCCACCTGTCAGAGGGAGCCCCAAGACAGGACCCTGGCAGGGCCCCAGGCAGCTCAGCAAACGGGCTTAGTTTGGAAGAGGCTGCATTACAGGACCAACCCCAAGTTAAGTAATTCAATAATGCACATTTTACAGAGTTGAAGGTGTTTGTCCCAAGCCAGAAATTCTATTTTTGAGGCAAACATACCAAACGATTTGGAAAGTCTAATTTCCAAGTTCCAGCACGTGGCCTTGGGCAGGCCAGCAGCAGGACGCAAATGGGGGCGGTCAGCCCTGGAGGCCAGGACAGCAGTCGACCCAGATCCACCCATCTGCCCCTGTCACCCTCAGGATTCCCAGGAATTCCCAGCAGCAGGCCGAGCAGAGGGGCCATTTCCACTAAAGCCCAGGCTTCCAGCCGGGTTCAGCTCCCCAGGGGCTGGTCCCAGGTCACATCCCAGGACCCCCAGGTGATGGAAGGCATGAGCCCTCCAGCTTAGCTACCACCAAAGTGGCCTTCTTCTCACCTGGAGAGGGTTCTCCCCTGCAGTCCAGAGGCTCCCTCTCCATGACTCCAACAAAAAGGCTCACAAGGAATGCAGCTTCCTGGAAAAGATCATCACATCCCGACACATGGTCAGAAAGGCCCCACCCGGGGAACAGGTGCTGGGGCTGGCAGGCGGACCCCCACTCAGGCTCCACCACCCTACACCAACCACACACCGGCAGGAGGTGCTGAGTTCCCTCCATCCCAACAAACAGGCCTTCCACCAACCCAAACAGCTATTTCCCTGGATACCTGGCTTATATTTTCCTTTTCTTAATTCTGCCACCTCACCAAACCTTGAGCATTTCTGAACTGGGCCAAAAGCCCCCTCCCCCTCCTTGGGGATCCCCATCAGAGAAGCCCACTGCCCACCACTGTCCCCCATGACTCAGGAACAGGGTCCCAGCCCCCTCTCAGGGAACAGGCGTGTTCTGGGAGCAGGAACCTGTGGGCTCAGAAAACCCTTATTTGCAACTGCCCATTTGCAGTCACCACGTTTTCGTTTGTTTTCCAGTGATTCCAGAAGCTGCCCTCCAAAGCAGAGGCACTAGGCTGGGCTCTCCCACACGCTGGGCTCCGTGCCCACCTCCTGCTGCCCCAGGTTCCAGCCCTTCAGCCCCTCGGGAAGGGATGTGTCCTCCTCCAGGCCTCCTGTGCCCTCCACAAACTCCTTGTAGGTGGTCTTCTCGGTGAAGGGCCATGGGCCTAGCAGCTCCACCATGTCAGCCTGCTCCAGCACCTCCTTCTCCAGCAGCCGCCTGCCCACCTGCAAGTCCCACTGCCCGTCAGCAGCCTGCGAATCACCAGAACTCCCGGAGGATGGGCGCCGCCCCAGCCGCACTTGCCTTGTCCACCTGCTCCCAGCACTGCGTCAGCAGGTCTCGTGGGTGGAGCTGATGAGGTACCTCACCTCCTCATCGATAAGCCAAGCTGTGGCCTCGCTGTACAGCCTCCCCGCCTGCCCTTCGCCTTGCTGGGGAAAATCAGACATCTGACCCAGCTTCTCACTCATCCCAAACTGCACTATCTGGAGTGGGGGTGGAGGGAAGTGCGCCTGGCCAGACTCGCGTGCAGAGCCCCCCACCCAGCGCTGCTCTACCTGGGCATAGGCGTTCTGGGTTACCTCCCTCAAGTCATACTGGGCCCCTGTGGTGACCTGGCAGAAAAACAGCTTTCCAGCCACCCTGCTGCCCAGCAGCATGCACACGCAGTCGAAGAGCTGCTCCTGCGTGTGCAGGTACTGCTCTGGGGGCACACATTGGGCAAAGCCCAGCCCCTTGCCCCGGGGGATGATGGACACCTGCAAGACACAGCCCCAGTCCTGGGGCATCCCGGACCAACCTTGCCCCTCTGAGCACTGGTCTCCCTGCAAGAGTGTGGAAGGAGAGCAGACCCTGGGCCCCACACTGACGGGGGTCACCCCAACAATTAACATGGAACCCCCCCCACCTACCCTGCAGAGGAGCCAGCCATCGGGTAAAACCTCAGCAGATGTCAGGTGGCCAGCACCCAAACCCCTCCTGAAACCAGCACCCAGCTCTCTACCCACTCACCCCTCAAGGAGTCTTATAACAAATTCTAGACCACTACGTTCCTTGGAAAGCAAAAAGGCTGCCACCTTGAAGGCACTGTGCCCATGTGGCCACATGCTACACACAGGCACCCACGCCTGGAGACCAAGGGACGAGCTAGGAGGGGAGTGGGCCCTGCCCCTCCCCGTGCAGACACGCGAAGGGACGTGACCAACTTTCAACAGGGGATCTGCGTGCTCCAGGAACCAGCCCACCACCATGTAGGCCACCGTTGTCTTCTCTCCAGGCTGAGGACCTGCGTCATCTTCTCCAGACCTACAAATCAAAGTCCTCGTAAGAGGGAGAGGAGGAACGGACAGCTGAGGAGTGGGCACCAAGTTCCCACTCTGCACTTGGGGCATGCTGGGGGCTGGTCAGAGCCTGTGTCCAGCCAGAACAGACCCAGCCGTCTGCTCCACCACACACACTCCTCAGACCCCACTCTGCGCCATCCCCACATGCCAGACACACTAGACACTGTGCTGCCTTCTGCTCTATGGAAACACCAGGTCCCAACCCATCTCCCTTACAAGCAGCAGATGGCTCTGGGGTGGGTGAGAGATTAGCTACTTTTCATGGCTTGAGGGAAGTGATGCTGTCCGTACGAGAAACGAGGAGGAATTCTCTGCATGGTCTCAGCCCAGTCACAGGCAGGAAACAGAGCACAGCAAGGCACAGACCCCTCGTGCTGAGCGCAGCTTTGTGGCCAGTCAGCTCGCCAGAGCCACCAGATCGCCCTTGAGCAGCTGTGGCGACTGTCCTGGGCTACTGATACTCTCTCCGCACTTCTCTGGTTGTGTTACACGTCGATAAAAAGGGAAACTCAAACAAAGTACGGTGGCCAACCTGCTGTCTGGGTGAGCTGGTGATCACAGCCATGGGGCCGGAGTATGAACAGCTGAGCTGCTGGCCACACAGACACCTCCCTGACCTCCGTCCTGGAAAGGCCCTCAGGAGACCCCTACCCCCACGCTGAAGCCCCTACTCCAGCCTTCACCCCTCACAGAGCACTGGCCCAGTAGGAGCACTGGGATGGCCCCTGCAAGCACTCAGGGGGAAGCACCCAGCAGACATTCCTCCTGTCCAGTCAGAACCCAAACCTGGATCTCATTCAGCACCCTGGAGGTCCCTCATCTTTGAGATTCTCAATGTTGCTCCAGAAAGAACACGGGAGCTGCTGACAGACCCCAGTTCCCAATTCCGGTCTGGAAGACCGCTCCCGGCTCCAGTGCACTGACACGAAGCTAGGGCCCCAGGGTGAGCCTGCTGCAGGCCAGAGCTGGAACGTCCCCTCCTCAAGGCAGCCCAGCTCACCTCCGATGATCCTCGCGATGGCCTGCTCAAAGTGTTTCTCCGGAACTAAAGGGCTGAGGTGGCGGGCAGTGATTAGGGCCACTTCAGTGCAAACATTAGAGGTACGAGCGCCTGCCAGTGGGAGCAGTCCCATTGGCGCCCCAGGGCGGACTGTCACAGGAAAGTCTCCAGTCAAGGGACCAGAGCAGACCAGGTCAAGGACTGGAAGGAGATGCAAGCTGCTTTGTCAGTCACCATTGCTTTTAGCCAGTTTTTTTGGTTCAAAAATTTATTGAGGAGTAACTTATTTAATGTACAATCTACTCATTTTAAGGGTCTATTTCAAAGACTTTTAGTACATTTATCAAGATGTGCAACTACTGCCCTAATCTCATTCTAGACATTCCCGGCACTTATGTGGTTAATTCTCGTACCCACCCCCGCCAACCACTAATCTACTTTCCGTCTGTGGAAGTTTCACAGAAAAGGAATCATACAATATGTAGTCTTTTGTGTCCGTTTCTTTCACCTGCAAAATACTGTGAGGTTCCTCCAGCATTGCAGCACCAATCAGTACTTCAGTCCTTTCTACAGCTGAATAATGTTCCAAGTACAGCTGTCCCAAGGTATCCACAAGAAGACACTAAAATCCACGGACACCCAAGCCCCTTGTACAAAACAGTGTGGTACCACTGGCCCTCTGCATCTGCAGGTCATGCCCTGATGGACACTGTGGTGGTACCTACCTTATGAATAATGCTGCTGTGAATGCCCATGTACCAGTCTTTGTGTGGAGAAATGATTTTAATTCTCTTAGGTAGATGCCCAAGTGGAACTGGGGTCATACAGCAACTGCATCTCGCTTCTTGAAGGACTGCCACGCTGATCTCCACAGACATACCATCTTACATCCCACCAACAGGGAGGGTTCCCACCTGCCTACACCCTGCCAGCTCTTCCGTCTGTCTGTCTTTCGTGGCCATCCTGGAGGGTGTCAAGTGGGATCTTGCGGTTTTGAGATGCATTTCCTTAATGACTAATAACACTGAGCATCTTTTCATGTCCTTTCTGGCTATCTGTATTTCTTCTTTGGAAAAGTGTCTATTCAAATCCTTTGCCCACTTTTAAACTGGGTTCTTTGCAAATTCTGGATTCTAGGCCCTTACGAGATGCATAATTTCCAAATATTTTCTTCCATTCTGTAGGCCGTCTTTTCATTCCCTCAATAATGTCCCTTGATACACAAAAGATTTTAATTTTCAGGAAGTGCAATTTGCTCTTTCACTTGCTGCTTGTGATTTAAGAAGCCACTGACAAATCCAAGGCCACGAAGACCTTCTCCCTTGTTTCCTTCTAAGACCTTCATAGTTTTAGCTCCAAACCTCAGGCCTCTTCGCCACTTTGACTTGACCTCTGCACACAGCCTGAGGTCCAGTTTCCATCTTTGCTTGTGGAGATCACTGTCCAAGCACTTTCGGTCGAGCAGACTCTTCCTTCCCCGGCAAATGGTCTTTATATACTTGACAGAAACGACGGACCAGAGACTCTATCTGGCCTCTTAATTTTACTCTATCGGTCCACGTCTACCCTCTTGCCTGTTCTGGCTACTGGAGTTTCACAGGAAGCTCTGAATAAAGGGAGTGTGAGTCTTCCAACTCTGCTCTTTCACGAGATGCTGTTGGCTACTTGGTCCCCTGGCAGTTCCACGTGAGTTTTAAGATCAGCTTTCCCATCTCTAGCTTTAATAATACACAAACGTTCTGCTCCTACACATCTCCTTCCAGCTTTATGTTGACGCTGTCTCAGGTTACATCTTTTTACATCATGCACCCATTAACAGACTTGTAATTATGGTTTTATGCACTTGTCCTTCAAGCCATAAAGAGAGAAAAAGAGGAGTTACAAACCAAAAAGACCACCACGCCAGCCTTTCTATTTACCTACGCAGCAGCCTCTACCAGTGACCTTTATCTTGCCTCACAGCCTCAAGTTACTGGCTCACTCACTTCAGCCTGAAGGGCTCTCTAATGATTCTTGTAGGGCAGGTTTAAATATAACAAGCTCTCTCAACTCCTAAAAGTATCTGGAAATGCCTTAATTTCTCCTTCATCATTGAAAAAGAGTTTCGCCAGATCCTCTGCCTTCTGGCCTCCATGGTTTCCAATGAGAAATCAGATGTTAACCTCACTGAAGACCCTTGTACATGACATGTCCCTCCTCTCCTGCTGGTTTTAAGAGCTCCTCTTCGCTTCTGACCAGTGTGGATTACAGTACGTCTCAGTATGGATGTCTCTGGCTCCATCCCTACTTGGAGTTCCCTGAACTTCTTGGATGTGTAGACTCATGTCTTTTATCCCGCTTGGGAAGTGCTCATCCATTACTTCTTCCCTGGGCAGGACACTGAGGAGATGGAGGCCGTGGTGGCTGGAGGGCTGAGGCACCACCACATCATGTTCCCAGAGGGGCAGGGGCAGCGGCCAGCGGCTTGCCATGGTAACCATGAGGCCTGCAAAGCCCCCTGGCTGCTGAGGAGGTGTACGATGGACAGGAGCCCCTGGAAAAGCTGTGAACTCCTGATGTTTAAACCACTCTGGTAGGGAAACAAGTTCCCCAGTGTAAACTCTTGGGTTTTGATTACAAAGAAGAGAGAAAGGCAAAGGGAGTCCACAGGTGGGAGGGCAAGCCCAAGACTAAAAAACGCACGGCAACCTCTTCACCTCACTTGTCTGCCCTCAGATGTCAGTCTGATCTCTGCAACAAAAACGTATCAAGTCTAAACAGAATTAAACCAGAAATTCAAACAAGTACAAATTAGCTTTGGGGTAATAATCTCTTGAGACCGCTGACATGTCCCAACAGAGTCAACTTTCTAAAGACAAGAGTGGCACCATGACAACACAGCCAGGGCGTCCCTGCTGAGGCTCTCATCCAACTTGAGTGGACACAGGTGGACCTTGAAAACAGAGGCCCTGCCTTTGACGTCAGAGGGGCCTAACAGAGAGAGACAGAGGCACAGACGGCCAGATGAGGGTCACCTGCAGCCACTTCACAAAGGCTGTGAGGGCAGTCTGGGGTTCTGGGCACCACCCGTGTGTCTGCACTGCACACTTGGCTGCCCGACTAGGGCCAGGGCAGAAGTGAACCACGGGTCATGGTGGTCACTCAGCTTTTCAACACATTAAAACACCTTCCGGATGGTGCAGCCTCTGGCCTACAGCAAACCTATTCCCGGGACCGGGACCCAACCATGAGCAGATGTAGGCTGCAGGACCGACGTTTCCTCAGTGGAAAGGGCCACAGTGAACTCTCCCCTTGCAAACTGCCCTTTAAGGTTTTGTAACAGCGCATGAAGAACAACAGCTGAAAACTCTACGTCCGTCACGTTGCTCCCAGCTGCATGGACTGCAGTGGCCTTCCTGCGGGGCCAGCCACATCTGTTCTTTCCACAAGTAGGGGGCACACATGTACCTCCGTTGTTTCAAAACACTGTATTAACTGCTTTAGGACCTCAATCAAAAATCTCCTCCAAATACACATCTAATGATCTATCTAAATTTTTCACCCAAACCCAAATGAAACCCCAAGCTGGAGCACCGGGTGGCCAGCACACTCACCAATGTAAATCTGGCAGTCAAACTGGCCGGGTCGAGAACACCAGGCCGGTTGGTGCCGGCCCAGCACCATGACGTCGTTGGCCGAGTTGAACCCTGGACGCAAGAGGAGCAGGTAAGGCCGAGGAGAGGGTGTGGTCGGCACCTGTCAGGTCAGCACCACACTCCGAGGGGCCTCTCCTCTCCCCTGCTCTCCCCTGCACACCTGGCCCGACCTTCCAGAACCACTGCCCACCCTGGGAAGCCCCACGCTGGCTCTGCGTCTCCTCCCACTGGCTCCACAGCACACTGCACAGGCTGCTCAGTGTGGGGCAGACACTCACACCCAGGGCTGGCTCTGACACCCACTCTGCCACGCAGGAACCAGCAGCTAGGCCCCCACAGTCCCCCACTGCTCTGAGAGGCATCTGCACTGGTGGGTAACCAGCCATTCCTCAGCTAACTGGGACCCCCACAGCCCAGTCTCAGGGTGTGGACCCCCATCCTAACTCATTATTGGTTCCTGCCAGCCTCTGACACCACGCGACAACCTGCAGGGGTCAGGGAGACCTCCCCCTACCACTGTCAGTGCCCTGGATCACCCAGGTGCTGAAAGGCTTGCAGACCAGGGAGCCAGACGGGACAGGGGCAGGTAGGACCGTACAAAGGAGAACGGGGCACCTGGCAGGGCCAGGGGAGAGGAAGTGCTCCCAACCTCCTTCCCCTCCAACTGTCCCTCCCATCAGCCCCTCCAGACATCAGGACACAGTAACAGCTTAATTAGAATGACTGCTGGATACTCAATACAACTGAAGACTTGAGCAACATTCTGGCCTGTTCAGAAAAGCACACACGGCAGTCCCATCCAGCACATCTTTGGCAAGGCCTGCTCACAGGGCCCCCGACCACCTCTGGGACCCGGGATTTAAGGAGGGTCTCCATTGCTCCCTGGTAAGTGGGGCCCCCTGTGTCTACACTCTGCAAACAGTGTGCTTCATGCCAAGCACGCACCTTCCCCCTCGGGATGTGCTGGCGCAGGACGCCGCATGACCCAACCCCCTTGGGAAACCTGACCCTGGCGGACAGCACTCCCGAGTGGCATCTGACCCGCTGCCAGGGGAGGAAGTGTGCCCTGAGACTCCATAGGAAGGGCCTCTGGAAGCTGTGGCCGGCTTCCCTGGGCCTGGCCCAGGCACCTCTTCCCCGTGATTCTCCTCTGTGTCCTGTCACTGAAGTCAACCACAATACGAACACAATTAAACACGGAGGCCTTCCAGTGGATCACCAAACCAGGAGTAATCTCGCGAACCCCAACACAGTTACAAAGATGAAGAGAGGACAAGATCTGCCAAAGGACCGCAGACAGCTTTCCAAAATTCAAAAACTGGCACGAAGGCCTAGACACTTCCCGGGAGGCGTCAGCAGTCCTGGCAGGCTGTCAGACTCGGCTGGAGCCTCTCTGAGCACAAGTCTTGAGGGGGAGAGAGGAGAGAGATTTTGGTGCAAGAGGCAGCCAGGGCACCTGTGAGCCCCGGGCCGGGGAGGGCACCAACGCCTGGTCCTCCTGCTGACAGTGGGGCCTGTGTGAAACCGAACAGCTCTCTCCAGTACGTGTGCCTGAAAACAGCCTTTCTCAAACAGAACAATCAGGGGTTCTCGCCCAGGGAGCTACTGCACAGAAATGAAGGCCTGGCAGACGGTAATGTGGGGTCTCACCATCCATCTCCACCAGCATCTGGTTCAAGGTGTTCTCCTGCTCGCTCTGGCAACCAAAGTGCCTGCAGCCTCATTTCCTGCCAATTGCACCCATCTCATCAATGAATAAGATACAAGAGACATTTTTCAGGCCATCACAAACATGTCACAAACCTGAAACAGGAGTCCACCACAGAGTCTACTCTGTTACCGGCACAAAGACAGGAAGAAGAATCTACCAACTTGAGCCCCCTCTTCTGGAACCTGACCCACCTCAGCTGCTGTCTGCCCACCTGGGTCTCCCCTGCACATCTGTGGTCTGCTTGGTGCCCACCGCCAGGGCCCCACACAGACCCGGGGCAGGGATAGGGCGCATCCACCTACCCAAGCTGGCCCAACGCCCACGAACACTTTCAAGAACTCTGACCCATTCACAGTGATGACAGGCACACTGGCCTCCCCCGCAGTCACCTTGGTGAGAAGTTTTGCCAGCACCAGGAGGACCTGTGAGCATGGCTCCCTGGAACAAAAAGGTGACACCTGGTTCTTAAGGGGACGGATGGAGCCAGAGGGAGCAGAGCGCCCCCTCCCACTGAAGCAGGCGCCCTCCAAGGATGCCTTCTAAGAGTGCGCCGTGCTGGCAGACTGAGGTATGCTTTCCGTTTAACATTTTCTGCTTGTGAGATGAATGCGTGTTCACAGTAAAACCGGTTTACTGTTTCATGGTAAAACGTTCAGATGGTGCAGACACACAAAGCCCCCTGTGCCCTCTCCCCACAGCTGAGCACGTTATTTCTTCAGGAAACGCTCCCAGGCAGGACTAGCTGGGTCACAGGGTGTGGTGTATACTGTGGCCACAGAGACTCTGTCCAGCTGGCCCCAAGGCAGCAGGAAGGCAGCAGCTGTGTGGCCACCACTGCTGTGCTTCCTTGTCTATGGCCTGCCCTCCTCTGCACTGACTTGAGGGTTAGAATCACAATTCATGCCCTAGTAACACACTTTAGTGCTCCTTCTGTGGACACCATTATGCCTGGAAACTGAGGAGAGACTTAAAGGGGGGCTTATGTTGCTTTATTTCCAGTCAGTGCTGTGGGTTAATATCTAATTATTTCAAAAGAGACCATAAAGTAATTTTTTTAAGTCTTTAAGAACAGAAACAAAATATGTAAAGTGGGGGAGGAGGGAGCCACAACTCAACACACAGGTGCTGGGGCCCCATGTCTTGTGAATGGGGAGGTGGGGTTCATGGAGGTGTCACAGCCCACCATGCACAGGGTCTTCACGCTCCATCCCTGCCAGTCTCTTCAAGACAGGAGGCAGTGGTGGGGGGGGCAGAGCTCAGTGGTGGAGAGCTGCTGAGCATGCACAAGGTCCTGGGTTCAATCCCAGTACCTCCATTAAATAAATAAATAAATAAACCTAATTACCCACCCCCAAAAAAGACAAAAACAAACAAAAAGACAGGAGGCAGTGGACCCAGGGTCCCTGTGCCCACGTTTACTGCAGATCACACCCAGCGGGAGCTGGGAAGTCACTCAGGCCCCAGCGTCCTCACCACCACGCAGACTTGACAGAGTGCCCTCCCTCCACACGAGAGGGTCTTCTGTCACCTGCCTGTGCCACGCCCACTGTTTACCCACACATGCTTTCCCAGGAAACACAAGCCCCAGAAAAAATTCCTGAAAAGGCACACAGAAGCACCCCCAGCAGCACCTGCCTGTTAAGCCAAGGTGAGCGACAGCTGGGCTCCCTGCTGGTGCAGCTCCAACAGGAGCAGAAGGCGGTTTGTGCACCGGCCACACTCGTGAGCTTTCCAGCCAGCTCTCACCAGGTTGTCAGGCAGAAACACATGCCTCCAGCCCTCTAATCCCCAATGGTCAGTCATCTTCTATTGTTGTTCAGAGTAAGGTGTCGGCAGTACCCTCCCTGCAGGGACCATGTTGGGGAAGCTCTGTGGGGTGAGGACGGTCTATACCAGGAGGGCTCTCAGCCTGGTCCAGAGCCCAGGGATGCCTCGAGGGATCTGTGAATCTACTTCCTGTGAGACACAAATCTTTCTGGGAAAAGGACTCACAGCTTCTGCCGGGCCCTCAGAGGTCCACCCCCGAGCCCCCGTTTCCCTGTGCCACACCTGACCTGCAGCCACAGTGCATGCCTGCTCCACCTGCTGGGTCAAGGGCTTCCCAAGAGGCAGCTGCATCTGGTCCCAGACCTGTTTACAAGGGCAGTGCTTGTTGTTTTAATTATGTACTTTAAACCACATAAGTTAGTAAAATAGGAGTAAAGAAAGCGGTTCCTTCAAAAACAAAGCTGAAGGCTTTGGATAATAAAGCAAAAAAGCAAACTAGCATTAAAAAAAAAAAAAAAAACAAGGCTGCCAAACTGAACAAATAAGAAAACGTGAAAGACTGTCATAAAAATACAGGACTCTGTACTTGAATGAAAATCACAACCACAGACGGTAAGTGGTTTATGCAAGAAATGTAACAGAGGGTTTGAATAGGGTGCCAAACTCAAAGGAAGGCCTGCCCTCCAAGACACCAAGCAAAAACACACATTTGTGCCTGGAGTGGAAATAAACACACTCCAGGTAGACATGTACTGTTCC